GCTGGCCTTGAGCTCACAGAGATTCACCTGCCTCTGCCTCCCAAGTGCTGGAATTAAAAGTATGTGCCACCACGCCCAGCCTGAGTATTGCCATTCTTGAGCTTCCTGCTCAGTTTTTCATATTAACAGAAGCAACTCCTGTGACATGAAGCTGTTCTGCCATGTGTCAGGACCCTGTGATAGCAACAGCCTCATCTCACCAGTGATAGTTACTTAGCCTGGGGGTTGGGGGAAGAAGTGGGAGGAGAGAAATTCTCCTCATTGTCCTTGGGTAAATTGGAATTGCATTCTAGTATGTCCCTAGGAGCCAATTGCAAAGTCAGATATTGGAGAATAGAATTGCAAAAAAATTTTTGCTAACTTATACAACAAAAGACTTGGGAGAATAAATATAGAGATGGACATTGGAGATCCTAGGCCGTGGAGAGAGGTTTATAATTTCAGATTGCACTCAGTTGTTTGATATGGGCTCTCAGAGGCTTGGGGTTAAGTGTATTGATTTGAGCAACTAAGAATACTTCTAACAGTTTGCTTATTTGGTTAATTAAAACCTGAACCAAACATTGGCACACCTTACATGAAGCAGAGAGATTAGCAGTGCTCTGGAATTGTATGGAAGAAAAAAAAAGAAATTCAGTAACAGAAACTTGTGTTATAGGAATGGATTTATTATGTGTGAATCACTTTCCTTCATACCGATTTTTCTTGGTAAGTGGTCCAGAGAATATTTTCCTTTGTCCTAGCACTGAGAAATTGAATGGGAACATAGCAACAGCATTTTTGAAAAGTTCTTTAGTGTTTGTCTTCTGCAGGCTATAGTTGAAGATAGGAGATACTACCCAGCCCTTGTCTCAGTGGGGATGCTGAGATCCCAGAGTAAAGGTCACAGCATCACAATAACCTTAAAGGGCTGGAGGGTGAGTGTTGATCAGATTAGATTTTTATTTATTGATGGTAAATTAACATATGTAGTTGGAAAGTTACACTAAAGTGCTCTTTAATCTATATAATAATCATGATAGAATCTATATCTAGTGTTAAAAGCCTTTCTTGAACCATCATGTCAAGTCCCAGAACTAAATCTTTTCATAATGCAGACTCCTTGAATGAAGAAGAAACCTTTAAAAAAGGTTTTCATGTCGAAGAGTGAACATTATTATGATTTATTTATTTTTATTTTGTATGTATGAGTATTTTGCCTACATGTAAGTACATCATATTCATGAAATGCTGGTAGAGGCCAGAAGAGGGCATCAGATCCACTGGTACTTCAGTACGAAGTTATGGATGGTTGTTAACTCCCATGTTGGTACTGGGAACTGAATCCAAGTCCTCTGCTCAAACAACCACTGCAATTAACTGCTGAGCCATTTCTCCAGCCCCTTGAACAATATTACAAACAGTTGTATCCTTGTCTAGCACCAGGTACTGTGGTTTTGGCATCGCTTATGGTATATTCTGACATTCATGGGAAAAAAGCAACATTAATCCTATATACATAAGCTTTACCATCAATGAAACAGATATATGACCATAGATCTGCAATTATTACTGCTGCAGAAGCATAGCTTAAGAGATACCTGTCTCCCCAAGGAGTAGGGATTAGTTTGGCAGAGATAATGATGGTTAACATGAATTAGAGTTGACTAGAAAGATTAAGTGAAAGATGGACATGGTAGAAATCAGCATGCATGCAAAGATTGGGTCCTATCTTGTATGGAGAACTGTGGAGACAGGTATGTAAAGAAGGTACAGAGAATGTGTTTAAAGGAGTAAGGAAGAAGAACCTGGAGATGAAGAGGTGCCAGATCAGTATGTTCAACTAAAGACAGGATCTTGACTTCAGGTAACTGAGAAAACCTTCAGAAGATTTGGAAGGTTGAGAAGAATATAATTACATGGAGAGAAAATGTGAATAGAATATAGGCTGAAATACCAATTAGGAGATTACTGCAATAGTTTAGGCAAATTATAAAAATTAATAAAGGGACCTGACCTAAGATACTGAGGTGGAAGGGAGGAGCTAGAAGAAATTTTAGGAGGTTGGCAGTCAATTGGCAAGTTACAAATGACCAATAATGTCCGATTTGAGGTGCTGTAAGAATGGTTTCTGCAAGGAGAGAGATTATAGAAAGAGGATGAAAGTGGAAAATCCCAATAGATAGTCCAAGTGGGAAAAATGGAGATATCTGGACCAGAAACAGATTCAGGAGCATAGACACCATCAGTGTCCACTCCTATTCCTCCTCATGTCCTTTCAGTGAATCCTGGTCGATGTTTCCATTGACATTTACTGTTGTCCTGGGCTATTTTATCTTCATCTTGGCAAGGTAGACGTGCAGGTAAATTAGTGCCCCCAGGAGTGACTAAGATAGCAACTCTCAAGAACTGTGTGTAAAAACACAGTTCATTTGCCCCTTGACTGTGATAACTCTAGACTGTATCTTGAGCTCCCCAATAGGAAAAAGCTTTTTTTATTCCCATTTGCTTGATGATGTTCACTTTATTGGATCTTACTTCTTCTTTGACTCACTTCCTTACTCCCTTAATGGTGTTTCCCCACTTTACCTCCAAAGCAAAATATTTGCATTTAAATTTCTGTCTCAGGCTCTTAGAAAGCACAAACTAAGACAGATAGTAATGGCCCAGCATGGATGAAGTTGAAAACTATGAGGCTGCTAGTGGTGGAGAGATAAATGAGTTCACCTAAGAAGAAAGGAAAATTGTTCCTGGGAATACCATCATTTGTGGGAGCTCTAGAGTGGGAGCAAATAAAGAGGAAAGAGGGAATCAAGAAGGAACAGTGCCCCAGAAATCAAAAGCAAAAAGAAAAGGACTTTCAAGGTGGAGTTATCAACCATGTTACATGCTGGAGAGGGATCAAGTTAGGAAAGGATTAAGAGTTGTTTAACAGATATCACAAGGGTTTTAGTTCCCTCTCCACTCTGGCTGTGAGCTAGCTGCAAGTTTCCATCTACCGCGACAGACTAAGGAACTACAAAAAGAACAGGAATCAGAGGAGGAGATTAAAGTAAACCTGAAATTGAAAGCATCCTTTGATTAGAGTCCAGGATGTAGACTTAACAGACTCACATGCCAAAAAAAAAAGGTCTGACTACTCAGTACAAGGTGTTCTTAGTTTCTGCTGTGGTCATT